TTTTTTGAGATGAAGTTTTGCTCTTTCACCCAGGCTGCAGTGCAGTGTTGCGATCTTGGCTCACTGCAACCTCCACCGTCCAGTTTCAAGCGATTCTCCTGCCTCAGCCTCTTGAGTAGCTGGGATTACAGGTGCTCGCCACCACGCCTGGCTGATTTTTATTTGTTTATTTATTTATTTATTTAATAGAGACGGGATTTCATCATATTGGTCAGGCTGTACTTGAACTCCTGACTTCAGGGGATCCACCTGCCTCAGCCTCCCAAAGTGCTGGGATTACAGGCGTGAGCCGGCGCGCCTGGCCTGTTGTCTCCATTTTCACAGATGAGGAAATGGAGGTTCAGAAAACCTAAAGTCCCACAGGTAGGAGGAAGAAGAGCCAGGATCTGACTCCGAGTCTGGTTCCTCTGAAGCCCCTTTCTGCTAAGCCAGGCTGGAGAGTTGTGGACAAGTGGAATTGACGGCAGTGGGGTCAGGTTGACGGTGGTTGTAGGCTGGCCTGAGTAGCAGAGTGCCTGGCTGTCCCTTGAGTGGGGACTTGGAGTGTACCAACTGCCATCCGGAGTGCGAGCATCATCATGAACTTTTCCCTAGGTTGTGAAGATTCCCGACGAGAGAGACTAAGGGGAAGAGAGGAAAGCGGGGTGGGCTCCTGGCAAGGCATTCGATCCTGAGTGGAATCCTGCAAAGGTCAGTAGCCGGGAGGGGCAGAGAGAGGTGGAGGTGATGGGATGTGGGGAGGGTGGGCCCCGTGTGGATGGGAGGCTGGGGCCGTGGGGGGTAGGGAGATGGGCTGGCTACCTCTGTGGCCAGTTGCCTCTGCTGTCTCCTTTCCATCTTCTCTGCTGTGTCTTGGGAGAACTTCCACAGTGGAAGGATGTGAGATGAATTGCCCCACCCCCAACACCTCACCTGGCGGGTGAGCCAGCTGCAGGGGCAGGTGCATTGCAGACGGCCCCACACCCTGAAGTTCACAGCACCAGAGATCGCTGGCTTTCCCATGCACTCATGTCCTCGCACCCCCACTGACCCCAGCTCCACTTCCTCACCTCGTTCCAGATGGAGAAGGAGGAGGAGACAACCCGGGAGCTGCTGCTGCCCAACTGGCAGGGTAGCGGCTCCCACGGGCTGACCATTGCCCAGAGGGACGACGGCGTCTTTGTGCAGGAGGTGATGCAGAACTCCCCTGCGGCCCGCACTGGGGTAGTCAAGGAGGGTGAGTCATCCCAGGGTGCGGACCAGGTGCTAAAGGTTGGGGTTGGGTGGGGTTGTTGGAGGGAAGGGCAGGGAGCAGGCAGAAATGGACAAGTGACTGCCAAGGGCCGGTTCCCAGTGGCATCAGGGTGGTTGGTACCCAAGCCCTGCCCTCCCTTGGTCACTCTGTGTCTGTCACTTGTGGTCCTCAGGGGAGGCAGTCATGTGGGGGTAGTGGAGACCTCACACCTGGCTCCCACCCACTAGCTCTGCAGATTTGGGTGCCCAGGCTGGAGTGCAGTGGCTCCATCTCAGCTCACCGCAACCTCTGCCTCCCAGGTTCAAGCGATTCTCCTGCCTCAGCCTGCTGAGTAGCTGGGATTACAGGTGTACACTACCACACCTGGCTAATTTTTGTATTTTTAGGAGAGATGGGGTTTCTCCATGTTGGTCAGGCTGGTCTCGAACTCCTGACCTCAGGTTATTCACCCACCTTGGTCTCCCAAAGTGCTGGGACTACAGGCATGAGTCATTGCGCCTGGCCAACGAGTTGGCCTTTCTAAGCCTTAGTTTCCATGCCTGTACAATGGGTATTGCCATGCCCACCTTGCAGGGTGGTCATGAGGTGAAGTCAGTCCGGTGCGCAGTGTGTGGTGGCTGTGTGCTGTTTCCCTGAAGCTCTGTGGGCCTCACCTGCTTCCTGCTCTTCCCTGCTTAGGGGACCAGATTGTGGGTGCCACCATCTACTTTGACAACCTGCAGTCGGATGAGGTGACCCAGCTGCTGAACACCATGGGGCACCACACAGTGGGCCTGAAGCTGCACCGCAAGGGCGACCGGTCCCCCGAGCCAGGCCAGACTTGGACCCATGAAGTCTTCAGCTCCCGCAGCTCTGAAGTGGTTCTGGTGAGTACCTTGCAGGCCCGTCTGTGCCCTGAGCTCCCCCAGCCACACTGGCCTCCAGACCCCACTCCTGAGCCTTCCGTGAGCCTCTGAGCCTCTTTTTTTGCTCTTTCTCCTCCTCTCACCTGTCTTCACTCTCTTGAGATCTTGGCCACCCTGTTTCTGTCTGTTCTCATGTGACATGTGGCTGTGCTGCCCCTCAGTGTCTTCCGTCAGTCTCCTCAGAGTGGCCACAGTGTGGGAATGACTTTGCAGCCTGGTCCTAGATCCTAGGAAGAAGGTCAGCTGCTTTGCAAGAATCTTTGAAATGACTTCACAGGTGCCCAGCTCCACCTCACAGACACCATTTTCCTCTCTGCAGAGGCCTGATACCTTCTGTGAGTCAGACGCTGGGCAGCAAAGTGCCTGTGGGGACATTGTTCCTTCTGATGCCTTGTTTATTTAACAAATAATGGGTCCTCAAAGTGAGACTGTTAACCCAAGCACAATGAGTCTCTTAGGCTTATCAAGTGCTTTCCAGTGTACAAGAGCCCTTGAGAAGATTCCCCTCCTGATTAAACTCACAAGCCAGTGGGTTGAGAGTTGGGAGGTGAAGGGCCTGCTGTCTTGGGAGGTGTCCCTGCACAGGCTGATTTGAATCGCTAACTGATTGGAAAGCAGCCCAGTTCAAGCGTATACCTCCCATTCTCTCCCTGTGGTTTTTGCTTACTGGTATAACGTCCAGAGAATTTCTGATTTCCTCCTGTGATGTGGCTGTCAGCCCCTTTCTTCACTCCCTTGTGCTGTGCCCCAGGAGGCTGCATGGACCTCTGTTCTGGTCCCAGCTTCTCTGGGAAACAGGCAACGTGGTGTTGGCTGGGCTGTGGCCGGGCATCTGCTAACTCAGGCAGACTCTGTTGCAACCTCTGCCGGGCGTGTCTTTCTGCAGAGCGGGGATGATGAGGAGTACCAGCGCATCTACACCACGAAGATCAAGCCACGGCTGAAGTCAGAAGATGGAGTGGAAGGAGACCTTGGGGAGACCCAGAGCCGCACCATCACAGTGACCAGAAGAGTCACGGCCTACACTGTGGATGTGACCGGCCGGGAAGGAGCCAAGGACATAGACATCAGTAGCCCTGAATTCAAGATCAAGATTCCAAGGCATGAACTGACTGAAATCTCCAATGTGGATGTGGAGACCCAGTCCGGGAAGACTGTGATCAGACTGCCCTCGGGCTCCGGGGCGGCCTCTGCAACCACAGGCTCTGCTGTGGATATCCGAGCAGGGGCTATTTCTGCTTCAGGACCAGAGCTCCAAGGTGCTGGCCACTCGAAGCTCCAGGTCACCATGCCTGGGATAAAGGTGGGAGGCTCGGGTGTCAATGTCAGTGCCAAGGGCTTGGACTTGGGTGGCGGAGGAGGGGTCCAGGTTCCAGCAGTGGACATTTCATCTTCTCTTGGGGGTGGGGCCGTAGAGGTGCAGGGCCCGTCGCTGGAGAGTGGTGATCATGGGAAAATTAAAATTCCCACCATGAAGATGCCGAAATTTGGTGTCTCGACAGGGCCTGAGGGCCAGACACCAGAGGCAGGGCTGAGGGTTTCTGCACCTGAAGTCTCTGTGGGGCACAAGGGTGGCAAGCCAGGCTTGACCGTCCAAGCCCCTCAGCTGGAAGTCAGTGCACCCTCTGCCAATATTGAAGGGCTTGAGGGGAAGCTGAAGGGCCCCCAAATCACTGGGCCATCACTTGAGGGTGACCTGGGCCTCAAAGGTGCCAAGCCACAGGGGAGCATTGGGGTGCACGCCTCTGTTCCCCAAATTGGGGGTAGCATCACTGGCCCCAATGTGGAAGTTCAGGTCCCTGACGTTGATATTCATGGGACTGGGAGCAAACTGAATCTGCCCAAGATGAAAGTCCCCAAGTTCTCTGTATCAGGTACAAAGGGAGAGGAAATTGGGATTGATGTGACCCTGCCTACAGGTAAAGTGGCTGTTCCTGGGGTCTCTGGGGATATCAGCCTGCCTGAGATTGCTACTGGTGGGCTGGAAGGAAAGGTGAAAGGTGTGAAAGTCAAGACTCCTGAAATGATTGTTCAGAAACCTAAAATCTCCATGCAGGATGTGGATCTGAGCCTTGGGTCTTCTAAACTGAAAGGAGATATTAAGGTTTCCGCTCCTGGGGTGCACGGTGATGTGAAAGGCCCTCAAGTGGCAGTTAAAGGCTCCAGAGTGGACTTTGAGACACCAAACCTAGAGGGAACCTTGACTGGCCCCAGGCTTGGCAGTCATTCCGGGAAAACTGGAACCTGTAGTATCTCTATGGCAGAAGTAGACTTAAATGTGGCTGCACCTAAAGTGAAAGGGGGTGTAGACATCACACTCCCCAAAGTAGAAGGGAAAGTCCAAGTCCCTGAAGGTGATGTCAAAGGCCCCAAAGTGGACGTCAGTGCCCCAGATGTGGAAGTACATGGCCCAGAATGGAACCTGAAAATGCCCAAGATGAAAATGCCCACATTTGGCACTCTAGGAGCCAAAGGGGAAGGTCCAGATGTGCATGTGACTCTACCCAAAGGGGATGTCAGTATTTCAGGGCCCAAGGTCAATGTGGAAGCCCCAGATGTCAACATGGAGGGTCTGGGGGGAAAACTGAAAGGCTCTGATGTTAAGCTGCCTGATGTGAGTGTGAAGACACCAAAGATCTCCATGCCTGATGTAGATTTGCACGTGAAAGGTCCAAAGGTGAAGGGAGAGTATGATGTAACCGTACCAAAGCTTGAAGGAGAACTCAAAGGCCCGAAAGTGGACATTGATGCCCCGGATATGGACGTCCATGGCCCAGACTGGCACTTGAAGATGCCCAAGATGAAAATGCCCAAATTCAGTGTGCCAGGGTTCAAAGCAGAGGGCCCAGAAGTGGATGTGAACCTGCCCAAGGCTGATGTGGACATTTCCAGGCCCAAGGTAGATGTTAGTGTTCCTGACGTGAGCATTGAGGGACCAGAAGGGAAATTGAAAGGGCCCAAGTTTAAGATGCCTGAGATGAACATCAAAGTCCCTAAGATCTCCATGCCTGATGTGGACTTACATTTGAAAGGCCCTAATGTAAAAGGCGAATATGATGTCACAGTGCCGAAGGTTGAAGGTGACATTAAAGTTCCTGATGTTGAACTTAAAAGTGCCAAAGTGGACATTGATGCCCCAGATGTGGAGGTTCAGGGCCCAGACTGGCACCTGAAGATGCCCAAGGTGAAAATGCCCAAGTTCAGCATGCCTGGCTTCAAAGGAGAGGGCCCAGAAGTGGACGTGAACCTGCCCAAGGCTGATGTTGACATCTCAGGACCCAAGGTGAATGTTGAAGTTCCAGATGTGAATATTGAAGGACCTGAAGGAAAGCTGAAGGACCCCAAGTTCAAGATGCCAGAGATGAATATCAAGGCCCCCAAGATCTCCATGCCTGATGTGGACTTGCATGTGAAAGGGCCCAAGGTAAAGGGAGAATATGATGTTACCGTGCCAAAGCTGGAAGGGGACCTGAGAGGCCCCAAAGTAGATGTCAGTGCCCCAGATGTTGAAATGCAGGGTCCTGACTGGAACTTGAAGATGCCAAAGATTAAAATGCCCAAATTTAGCATGCCCAGTCTCAAAGGAGAGGGGCCAGAATTGGATGTGAACCTGTCCAAAGCAAATGTGGACATTTCTGCACCAAAAGTAGATATTAGTGCTCCAGATCTGAGTCTGGAAGGACCTGAAGGGAAGTTGAAAGGCCCCAAGTTTAAGATGCCCGAGATGCACTTCAAAGCTCCTAAGATGTCTCTGCCAGATGTTGACCTGGATCTTAAAGGACCCAAAATGAAAGGAAATATAGATATCTCTGCACCAAAGATAGAGGGTGAGATGCAGATTCCAGATGTGGACATCAAAGGTCCCAAGTTAGATATTAAAGCACCAGATGTGGAAGGCCAAGGCCCAGACTGGAGCCTCAAAATACCCAAGATGAAAATGCCCAAGTTCAGCATGCCCAGCCTCAAGGGTGAGGGCCCAGAAGTGGATGTGAACTTGCCCAAGGCTGACATTGTTGTCTCAGGACCCAAGGTGGCTGTGGAAGCCCCAGATGTGAGCCTCGAAGGTCCAGAAGGGAAGCTGAAGGGCCCCAAGTTTAAGATGCCTGAGATGCACTTCAAGGCACCCAAGATCTCCATGCCTGATGTGGACTTGAATCTTAAGGGGCCCAAACTAAAGGGAGATGTGGATGTGTCGGTGCCCAAGGTAGAAGGTGAAATGAAAGTGCCAGATATTGACATCAAAGGACCCAAAGTGGACATTGATGCCCCAGATGTGGAGGTTCAGGGCCCAGACTGGCACCTGAAGATGCCCAAGATGAAAATGCCCAAGTTCAGCATTCCTGGCTTCAAAGCAGAGGGCCCAGAAGTGGATGTGAACCTGCCCAAGGCCGACATTGACGTCTCAGGACCCAAGGTGGATGTGGAAGTCCCAGACGTGAGCCTCGAAGGTCCAGAAGGGAAGCTGAAGGGTCCTAAGTTTAAGATGCCTGAGATGCACTTCAAGGCCCCCAAGATCTCCATGCCTGATGTAGACTTGAATCTTAAGGGGCCCAAACTAAAAGGGGATGTGGATGTGTCTGTGCCCAAGGTAGAAGGTGAAATGAAAGTGCCAGATGTCGACATTAAAGGGCCCAAAGTGGACAT